GTCGAAGGTTCTCATGGTGTTTGTGATTGCTCTTTCAGAGATGCTCTGAGTGATCTGGCCCTTCACTTCCTGAATAAGATGAAGATAATGGTGATTAAAGACATTGAGAGGGAGGACATTGAATTCATCTGCAAGGTATGACCAGCAGATCCAGCACTGTCATGAAACTATTAAATGTTTTTTTACACATTCTTTAATACAAGTTTTTGTCTTCTGTCCCATCAGACTCTTGGCACCAAACCTATAGCTCATATTGACCAGTTCACTCCAGAGATGCTGGGAACAGCAGAGCTAGCAGAAGAGGTTAACCTGGACGGATCTGGCAAACTAGTGAAGGTAACCTAAATTTTATAACCTGCATGCATATTCAGCTGAACATGTTTTGTTTTTCTCATGCATACAGGACATTATTTGCTTAAGCATTTATTTATAAACGGATACTCCAGATGCAGAGATGCATGTGGTTTTATTCTGTCTGTGCTGGATAATGACAGCAGTGTTTGATTTGTGTTTGTAGATCACAGGATGTGTAAATCCAGGAAAGACGGTCAGTATTGTCGTCCGTGGTTCCAACAAACTGGTGATTGAGGAGGCAGAGCGATCCATCCACGACGCCCTCTGCGTCATCCGCTGTCTGGTCAAGAAGAGGTAACAAAGATCTCAAGAGACTCCAGTGATTTTATGGATTTCTCAACCGAAAATAATAATTATTAATCGTAAGCTGAATAAATTGGCTGATATTTGACTTTCTATGACTATTTGGTAACTGCTCCATTAAAATCATTCACCCAAAAATAACATTTTCCTGAAAATGTACTCACCCTCAGGGCATCCAATATGTAGATGAGTGTTATGGGAACATATTTGCTGAAATGTAGCATTCCATCACTTGCTCACCAGTGGATCCTCTGCAGTGAATGGGTGCCGTCAGAATGAGAGTCCAAACAGCTGATAAAAACACCACAATAATACACAAGTAATCCACATCACTCCAGTCCATCAATTCATGTCTTGTGAAGCACAAATCTGTGTGTTTGCAAGAAACAAATCCACTTTAAACTGATGTTTCCAGCTAAAATAGGAGTCCTCTATCCATAATGCTTTCTCCAGTGGTCTGAATCAGGAGAGAAATATGCACAGGTCAAGCACCGTTCTAAACAAATATGTGGGTTTATTTTGATGTGAGAGGACAACAGTGATTGACTTTTTCACTGGAGGAAGCTACATTAGTAATTATGAACTGGTATTTTGGCCAGAAGAAATGGTTTGAATTTAAAACTCCTCAATTATAGTTTTGTTTCTTACAAACACGCAGCTTGTGATGTTTTTATCAGCTGTTTGTACTCTTATTCTGACGGCACCCATTCACTGCAGAGCATCTATTGGTGAGCAAGAGATGTAATGCTAAATTTCTCCAAATCTGTTCTGATGAAAAAACAAACTCATCTACATCTTGGATAGGCATTTTCAGCATTTGTTTTTGGGTGAAACCTTTCAGGTCTTGGAGTCAGAAGAAGCTGTTTGCTAACTCGTCCTCTTCCTGTGTGTCTGCAGGGCTCTGATCGCTGGCGGCGGAGCACCAGAGATTGAGCTGGCGCTGAGGTTGGCAGAATATGCCCGCAGTCTGGCCGGCATGGAAGCGTACTGTGTGCGTGCGTACGCCGATGCCCTGGAGATCATTCCCTCAACTCTGGCAGAGAACGCTGGTCTTAATCCCATCTCTACGGTCACGGAGCTGCGCAACAGACATGCACAGGCAGAGAAAACGGCCGGGATTAACGTCCGCAAGGTGTGACTTTCAACCGTTAGTTCTCAATAGTGCTGCATACTGACAAACCCCTCCAAAAATGAGCATTTAATGCGTCTTTTGGTCTCTCAGGGTGGGATCTCTAACATCCTGGAGGAGCTGGTAGTTCAGCCTCTGCTGGTCTCCATCAGCGCACTCACCCTCGCCACGGAAACGGTCCGCAGCGTCCTCAAGATTGATGATCTCGTGAGTGATTTGCAAAGTCTAATGAGTATTTGAGTATTTAAAGGACCCTAAAATTAGTACTGATGTTGACTGTAAATGCACAAGCATTAATGACTCGTCTCTTCTGCAGGTGAACACACGATAAAGTGAATGTGATTAGTGAAGGAAGATCCAACCCCACGCTAGCACCCCGATAAGACCAACTGATCTGTCGCTGTCTGTTGCTGTTACCTGGAATAATTTAATAAAACGTTTTTTTGACACCGTAACTCTTGACTTTTCTTGTTATTTGGCTTTGATATACGTGGTCAATGTAAATAAAGTAATTTATTTACATGGTGGTTGTCGTGGTCAGTGTATTACTGCATGTCAGTAAGTTTAATCTTGTTAGCTAATCGTCTTATCTGATCAGAGACGATTAGCTAACTCTGCTCTAAGGCCTGAGAAAGTCTGAAATCAAGATCTGACGATTCGCACTTGTAATCAACAACCTTGCGAGTTAAAACACAGTTTTGCATTTTTATGTGTTTTTTTTAAGATATAAAATAATACACCAGAATGGAAAACAGGATCACAGTTTTTGCCTAAATTTGCCTAAAGCAATAAACTTGTTTCCCAAATAGATCAAAGAAGATTTTTTTAGTTTTTGTTTTTTTAATAACTTACTACTGTATCAGGGTTGATGAATGCAGTTAATACAATGCTACAATTTGATAAAATTATGCTCTGTAAATATAATTACCTTTTTTTTTTATTTTTTTATTAATGTTATTTTCCACAACCAAGATGATCCAATTTAGTTCTATCTTATGATTTTGTTGAATACAGATATTTAAGATAATTGGAAGTGGAACTTGCCAAAATTATCATATTTGGGTGTGATATGCATTTGAAACCAGCTAGATTCTTTTTTTAAAACCCTTTTGCGTCAATTTAAAAAAAGTTACACGTTTATCCATAGTGTCAAAAAACTGTCATAAAAAGTTTAAGCTTGGGAGCACAGAGTTAAGTTTGGTCTCATTTTAAAGAAGACCCATGGCAGATTATTGTTGAAGTAAAAAAAAGTTATAGAGGTTTAAGCTTATGAAAATGATTTATGAACGATATTTTATATCAAATATAAACTCTGCTGGTGCACACTGGTTGGATTTGTGATTTGCAGTAGAGTTTTTCTCTCAAATATTACAAGAACACACACATATTTTTTTTTTTATGACACATACAAACCAATCTCCGACATCCATACCAACACACCCACATAATTATAGCTGCATTATTTATCCAGTTGGCTCTATAGCCTAATATGCAGAAGCAGAAAACAGGAATAAAGAGAGTATTGGTTTATAGGCCAAACCTGAAAAAAATGGCACCATCTGGTAAAAAATAATATTTTGAAGCCTTGCCAACAGAATGAAAGCCTATTAACAAAAATTGCATCATTTTACAGTTAGATGGCACTGTGATTAAAAATAGTAGTTTCAATGGGGACATTTTTGTCCTTAAGGTCCTGAGAGGAACAATTTTGTGCACCTAGTGCAAAACTCATTTGATTTATTAAAGCAAATGAAAGTGAAATAGTAAAATTCCAATAAAAATACACACCTGTGCCAAAATTTATGCAGTTGGATGGCACTGTGATTAAAAATAGTAGTTTCAATGGGGACATTTTTGTCCTTAAGGTCCTGAGAGGAACAATTTTGTGCACCTAGTGCAAAACTCATTTGATTTATTAAAGCAAATGAAAGTGAAATAGTAAAATTCCAATAAAAATACACACCTGTGCCAAAATTTATGCAGTTGGCAATAACACAGGCAAAATTATAAAAAAAAAAAAAAAAAAAAACGAAAAGTACAAAATGTCCAAAAGGTTGCACAAGGGTTAAACGTATTTATTGTAATGTAATTGGAAATCAGTTTGTACACTAGTCTTGGAAAGGACCATCTGATTTCTTGGCTTCAAATTTAAATAGACATATAATTAATAATAAAAATAATGGAGGGGAAGTCATGGGAAACAAAATGCCATGCAAATGTTTCAGGGCATATCTAATTATGTTTTGGTTATTGAACATTTTTTATTTGTTACTTTATTATTAATTACTTTATTTATTACTACAGTCAGTATGGTCAGAATTGACATTATCTGCTGATTTTGTTGAATACAGATAGAGTTGTCAATTCAAGACCTTTGAGGTAGAACAGGCCTGAATTAACATGTGTGACCCTGGAGCACAAAACCAGTCATAAGTAGCACGGGTATATTTCAATAGCCAAAAATACATTGTATGGGTCAAAATTATCGATTTTTCTTTTATGCCAAAAATCATTAGGATATTAGGCCTAAGTAAAGATCATGTTCCATCAAGATATTTCGTAAATTTCCTACCGTACAAATATCAAAACTTAATTTTTGATTAATAATATGCATTGCCAAGGACTTAATTTGGACAACTTTAACGGGGATGTTCTCAATATTTTGAAAGATTTAATTTTTTTTGTACCCTCAGATTCCAGATTTTCAAATAACTTTAGTTGTATCTCAGCCAAATGTTGTCCTATCCTAATAAACCATACATCAATGGAAAGCTTATTTATTCCGTTTTCAGATGATGTAACGTTATAAATCTCAATTTCGAAAAATTGACATTTATGACCAGTGTTGGGGAAAGTTACTTTTAAAAGTAATGCATTACAATATTGCATTACTCCATAAAATTTACTAGTTACTTGAAAAAAGTAATCTGATTACGTAACTTGCGTTACTTGTAATATATTACCCCCAACACTGTTTATGACTGGTTTTGTGGTAACGTTACATATATTGTGGTGTGGCCATCGGATATTTTAAGTGTTTAAAACTAGCTAGATCATTTTTTTTTAATGTAATTAGTTTGGACTAAATTAGTTTTTACTTCTTTTTATGTAAATAAACTCGAAACTCCAACATACCCCTCAGAAATAAACCGTTGGTGGCGGGTTTATACGTGCGCGCTCCCGCGGCTGAGCGTCACTGCGGCTTCCCGACGCTACGCGGTCGTCAAGGAGACGCGCACCTGTTACAGTCAAAAAGCGGCCAGTCAGTCGAATGTAAGCAGTCTGGAGGCAGAGACGGATATGAAGAAGTCTCACCGCACTAATGTCCTGGTGATGTCCTGTCTGAAGACGCCGGTGGATCCGCACACTAAAGTCCCTTTAGCTCAGTATGAGAGGGAGCGATCGTTGCCCGCGCTCACGGACAACATGCACTATGAGAAAGAGGTGACAAAAAGCAAATAAACTGCTTTTTCTATCGATTAAACTATCAAGAGAAAGTCATTTGTAAGAGTACTAATAGTTTTGCACTCTTGCATACCATATGGAGATACTTCAGGCGTATTACAAAGAAAAAAAAGCCCTAATTAAGAGGTTTTCAGTCAATATCTTTCTGACAATGTACGTTGTTTGGGCTTAAACATGATTTAAAAAATACAATATTGAAAACAATAGTTGTGTAATACACTAGAGGTGGTTAAACAGCTCACTAATGATGATGAAGAGGAAGGATTAACCTGTTAAGGCCTGACATGATGAAAAGTTCAGTAAGCATGCTATATCCTAATCTTGAAGTAAATCAATAGGCTTCTGTGGTTGTGGTTATGTTTTGCAGTTACTTAGGTATGCTATAGCTGAATTACCCTAAAAAGTGTATTCATAAATTTGCAAAACGTGCAATACATATCCTTATTTGCCTGCATAAATGTGTGTAATATAGTGTTGGTTTCATGTTGAGTACGGTGAAACTGAAGAAACGTGAGACAATCTCTGGTATGAATGAAGAACACAATCTGCCATCTGGCTTTAAAGCTGACAGACCTGCAGATTAACAGCTTACACACAGAGAGACTCATCTTGTGTTACACGCACAACTACTGACCGCACAAAACTCTTTTCCAGACAGAAATTTCACAAAAAAGAGTGTGACATATCGAAAACACTGGGCTTTTAACCAACAGTCCTTGATTTCACCACATAAACACTGTGTTTTTTTGGTCAATCAAAGCATCAGAATCTTAAAGAATTGTACTGATTAAGTATTTTAACCTATGATATGGATTACAATGAAAGTATCATTGTTTTCATTGTGTGTATCTGCATAGATTGAGTACGACTCTGGATCTGAGCTGGTGACTGATGACCCTCCTGCTAAAGACAGCAATGCACTGCTGATCAAAGACTACCGCGTGACGGGCGATCACATCGATCTCAGGGAGTTCTACTTCTCAAACCAAGAGTACTACCGTAAGCTAGAGCAGCTGAAGAAGGCTCATCTCCAAACGATGGCCGAACTCGAACTCATGTATCGCAAGAAACTGGACCTCAAGGGGGTGAGCGCGGCGGACAACAGTGATCGGACCAATCTGTGAGTTTATACATAAAATTATTTCTTTTTCAAAACTCTCTTTCTAGGTATGCACTACTGTTCAAAAGTTTGAGAAATATGTCTCTTATTATTCTCTTATCAAAACAGTACAGTAAAAACAGTAATATTGTGAAATATTATTACAATTAAAAATAATTGTTTTCTTTCAAAATGCAATTTATTCCTTTGATGGCAAAGCTGAATTTTCAGCATCATTACTACAGTTGTTTGGTATCATGTGATCCTTCAGAAATCATTCTAATATGCTGATTTGCTGCTCAAGAAACATTTGTGATCATTATCATCAGTGTTGTGCTACTTCATATTTTTTGTGGAAACTGTGATACATTTCTTTCAGGATTCTTTGAATAGAATGTTCAAAAAGAACAGCATTTGTTTAAAATAGAAATATTTGTAACATTATAAATATCTTTACTGTCACTTTTGATCAATGTAATGCATCCTTGCAGAATAAAAGTATTAATTTTTAAAAATAAAAATCCTACTGACCCAAACATGTGAACAAGTGTATAGTGCAGAACATTCCTTAAATTTAAATGGAAATGAAAAGATCGTTATTTTTTGTTAAATAGTTCCCCACAAGGAAGGAGTCCAGTGATAACCAGCAATCTGAAAAAAGCCCGGTCTGCTCTGGAGCTGCGGCGGACTTCAGATCTTTCTGACCTGTCTGATGAAGAGTGCAATGCTGACAATGGCAACACCGAGAAAGGCCTTCAAATCTCGCCCAAAGAGCACATCAAGAACATGTGGCAGGACTTCAGCGTGCATAAGCTTTCTTCACCTCAGTGGCACCCCTTTTCATCCTCACTGCAGAGCTTGCCTGCTGACTGCCAGGCTGCTAGCAAACTCAAGGGTCAACGGCTAAAAAAACACAAGCAAATGGTAGACGAGGGTTGGCATCCGAGAGTAACAGTCCCCAAGCCTTTCCAGATGACCCTTCGTGAGGCAGAACGCCGCAAGAAGGGCATAAAATCACGTTCAGAGATGGAACAAGAGAACGCGGATCTCCGGCGCCAGGTGGAGGAGCTCACCGAGTGCCAGAGGAAGTTCCACGCCAGTCCGGCGCCTGCGCATGTGTGCCTCCCGCTGTACGAGGAGCTGCAGGAGCGTGACGAGGAGCGCCGGCGGCTTCATCGCGACTTGGAGCAGCAGCGTCTCCACACCTCGCAAAGACCCTTCAGCTTCCTGGAGCGCGAACGGCTGAAGAAAGAGCAGAAGGAGGCCAAGCTCCGTGAGCAAATGCTCAAACACGACCGAGAGGAAGAGGAGAGAAGGAAATGCCCCTTCAAGGCCAAACCCGTGCCACGGACAGTGAAGGAGGCCGCGTCGGGCGAGCAGCAGAAGGAGGAGGAGCTCTACAGGGCCATCAAGATGCAGATGCGGGCGAGAGAGTTGCTTCACGGCGCGTCCATGCCTCCTAGCATGCTTGCGCGGCAGCTTAGTGAGAAACAGGTGCACAAAGCTGCCCAGGACGAAGAGCAAACACACAGACCCAAAATCAACGCCGAAGTTCCAGACTTCGACGGCAGCTACAGGAGGTTTCGGAAGCAGCTGGCGAAGTGCAAAGAAGTGCGGCCCGTGACAGCATGTGAACCCTTCCAGCTGCGCACGGCTAATATTGCCTCGCACAAAGAACGCATCATGGCAGATATCGAGGCAGAGATAAAGAGCCCAAAACCGTGTCTTTGAGGACCAGTGTCCTGCAGAGTTTAGCTCAAACTTGATTTAACAAAATAACAAATTGGTAAGTTTAGTATGCTATTCTGAGTTCAGCCAACATGAAGAGCAAATGATATGATGGAAAATACAGAGGGAGTGGGTTTTGACGTGCAAAGCCTATCACTTCATAATCCAGATAAATGCATAGTATTTTCTAGCAAGCTTTAGTGCTGTTCATCAAAAATCCCCAAAATGTATACAAACTAAACTGTAAAGTGCACATTTGCAATAAAAACATAATTATGACCTACATCAATTTGCTCTTACACTTTAATTGACACACCCAACTTGAAAATTTGGCACTCAAAAAATGAATGAGTTTCCCACTAGAAATATGATATTTTGGTGGCACTGACGTGTGTGTATATTAAGAAATGTGATCATTGTGACATGACTTGAAGGCAGCACCTGTCCATTGATCCCGAACCCTGTCCCTGCTGGCTTACCGTAGCATCATCCCATTAGAGGAGTCCCTCCTTCATAAAGTTCAGCTCTGACAGCTCTTTACCCCTACGAGTAGAAAAGTTCTTGAGCAGAGAAAGCGGGAAGAAGAGGAGGAGGAGAAATGGAAGGAGAAGCAAAAACAGAGAGAGAAGAGACTACAAAAAGTGATCACAAAGCGAGCCCAGGCGAACGACCCGCACGTGACCCTGGCCCAGACATGCCCGTCCAAACTAAAAGAGTTCAGGTAAAACAATGAAGCTTTTCATAAGCTGCTCTTCGTTTACCTCAACCAACACTTTTAAAAGTACAGGTTCTTTATTGGAATTGATGGTTCAGTGAAGAACCTTTAACATCCATGGAATCTTACCATTCCACAAAAAGGTTCGTAGATTATTTCTTAGACTATCTGCCTGCCTGTCTGTCTGTCTGTCTCTATATATATATTATCATTATTATTATAAATACTCATATGCATGTGCACATGGGAACAGGAAACAAGATCTTCAGAGACAAAGAGAGTACTGGGAGGAGATGAGAGAAATCCAGGAAAGAGTGAAAGGAAGACCTCTGTTACTGGAACAGGTAGCACAGGTGAGTTTTTTTTATTTTATTTTATCATTTTTTAAAATTTGAATTTATTTTGGTCTTTTTTATGTTTGAAAATGTTATTTTTACTCAAAAAGGTTCCTTTTAGGAAAAGAGAGGACATGCATCTCTACTAGAAATGTTCATTGTGATAATAATACAAAGCTCTCTCTTTCTCAGATGAATGCTAAGAGAGCAGCAGAAAAGCTCTACTCTGCCACTTTGCATGGATGTGGTCTGAGTGAATCCTTTATCAGCAGTAAAGCTCCTAAAGGCTTGAAACACAGGCAGACTCCAAGCCCCGCCCACTCCGGCAGCCAAACTCCACCCACATACAGGTAGAAGAGCCAGGAGGTCTCTATTCTGTCATACATTTTAAAGGGGTCATATGATGCGATTTCAATTTTTCCTTTCTCTTTGGAGTGTTAGAAGCTCTTGGTGCATAAAGAAGATCTGTAAAGTTGCAAAGACTAAAGTCTCAAATCCAAAGAGATATTCTTTATAAAAGTTAAGAGTCAGCCACGCCTACCTAAAACGGCTCGTTCTAACACGCCCCCACATGTCTACGTCACGATGTGGGAAGATTTGCATAACGCCGCCCAAATGTTCACGCAAAGAAAGAAGGCGTGACTTTTATTCTCGCTGTAGTATTGTTGTTGCCGCCGCCGCCATGTCGTGAAGGCGCTGTGTGCTTCGTTGTGAAAGCGAAACTACTTTGTTTGGCCTTCCAAAAGAGGAC